TGGCTTCCTGTTTAAAAGTCATCTCTTTTACATAAAATATTAATAAACTTCCGATCAAGTTCAATGTAACTATTAATATGTATATACCTACATATTTCGCGAATTATGTTTTATATTTTTTTTCACATTGCTACAAGAAACGAATTATTAGGTCACATACTTTCGCTCTATTGTAATGCATCTGATTTCTGAATGATATCTCCGGTTGGATACAATAGCAGCAATATTTCTCATATACATAATACTTTGCTGTGAATGCTGTGAGACGATGTAAAAGTATCAACACGATTCATAACATCCCACACTCATAGCTTGACTGCAACTACAATAGCAGACAGTGGTGAATTCTGCTTTAATGTGTCAATTTACACGACCTATTGGAACGAAAGTTCCTTACGGCAGGCTTGGAGGGGATAGGGATTTTGCTGCGCGACCGAACTGAAAAAAATGTGATGGTAAAACCGTAAGAAAAAATGCGTGGAATAAAACCGTTAAATGAGACGTGCGCAGGCGCGACGAAGTTCCTTACGGCAGGCTTGGAGGGGATAGGGATTTTGCTGCGAGACCGAACTGAAAAAAATGTGATAGTAAAACCGTAAGAAAATATGCGTGGAATAAAACCATTAAATGAGACGTGCGCATAGGGGGTGGTAGAGCGACGAGGGTGCATCACTGAAATATTGTGATATTACACCAACACTGAATATGTGTGAAGTTATAGGGGGTGGTAGAGCAACGAGGGTGCATCACTGAAATATTGTGATACTACACCAACACTGAATATGTGTGAAGTTATAGGGGGTGGTAGAGCGACGAGGGTGCATCACTGAAATATTGTGATATTACACCAACACTGAATATGTGTGAAGTTATAGGGGGTGGTAGAGCAACGAGGGTGCATCACTGAAATATTGTGATACTACACCAACACTGAATATGTGTGAAGTTATAGGGGGTGGTAGAGCGACGAGGGTGCATCACTGAAATATTGTGATATTACACCAACACTGAATATGTGTGAAGTTATAGGGGGTGGTAGAGCGACGAGAGTGCATCACTGAAATATTGTGATATTGCACCAACACTGAATATGTGTGAAGTTATAGGGGGTGATAGAGCGATGAGGGTGCATCACTGAAAGATTGTGATACTACAACAACAGTGAATATGTGTGAAGTTATAGGGGGTGGTAGAGCGATAAGGGTGCATCACTGAAATATTGTGATATTACACCAACACTGAATATGTGTGAAGTTATAGGGGGTGGTAGAGCGACGAGGGTGCATCACTGAAATATTGTGATATTACACCAACACTGAATATGTGTGAAGTTATAGGGGGTGGTAGAGCGACGAGAGTGCATCACTGAAATATTGTGATATTGCACCAACACTGAATATGTGTGAAGTTATAGGGGGTGATAGAGCGATGAGGGTGCATCACTGAAAGATTGTGATACTACAACAACAGTGAATATGTGTGAAGTTATAGGGGGTGGTAGAGCGATAAGGGTGCATCACTGAAATATTGTGATATTACACCAACACTGAATATGTGTGAAGTTATAGGGGGTGGTAGAGCGACGAGGGTGCATCACTGAAATATTGTGATACTACACCAACACTGAATATGTGTGAAGTTATAGGGGGTGGTAGAGCGACGAGGGTGCATCACTGAAATATTGTGATATTACACCAACACTGAATATGTGTGAAGTTATAGGGGGTGGTAGAGCGACGAGGGTGCATCACTGAAATATTGTTATATTACACCAACAGTGAATATGTGTGAAGTTATAGGGGGTGGTAGAGCGACGAGGGTGCATCACTGAAATATTGTGATATTACACCAACACTGAATATGTGTGAAGTTATAGGGGGTGGTAGAGCGAAGAGGGTGCATCACTGAAATATTGTGATACTACACCAACACTGAATATGTGTGAAGTTATAGGGGGTGGTAGAGCGACGAGGGTGCATCACTGAAATATTGTGATATTACACCAACACTGAATATGTGTGAAGTTATAGGGGGTGGCAGAGCGACGAGGGTGCATCACTGAAATATTGTTATATTACACCAACACTGAATATGTGTGAAGTTATAGGGGGTGGTAGAGCGACGAGGGTGCATCACTGAAATATTGTGATATTATCAAACCTGCTAGAATACCAGCGCTGTTATGGTGGGAATATTCCATTACTACTAATGCAACATTAAGCTGAGGCAGGGTCCTGATTGGCTATTTCTCTCTCCATATTTGTTGCTCACTGTTATTTTATTTTTGTTGCTATGTTTTTTGTTTTTTTTTACATGCTAGTGTAAGGACAATAAAAGCTTTTACTTTCTTTCTTCTTTCAAACCCACAGGAAAATGAAGTGCCGGGTAAGACTATAAACGTTGCTTTCAAAAGAGCATGCACTACTACTACAAAAACATATGCAGAAGCAGTAAATCAACATTGAGTAAGTGTTCCAAAAATAGCAGTTTGCAAATTTGAATCTTATGCGGTGTGCATACAAACTGGCATATAAACAGCCCGCTAGCAATTAAGTAACCGCATTACAATGTTAATCTTTATATTTGCATGTGAAGTTAGAAAAGTATTGTTATTCTAGTCGTAGAACATCTGGCAATATTTTACAATCGTAGCTATTTGTTATAAGCGAATACTATTTCTGTGGCAGACACCTTAATAAATATCTTATGAAGTTATTAAAATGGCTTTATGAAAGCTCTATTAAATATTAGGTATCATTGACAAGAGCTTAACTGTAAATAACCCCTTATGACTGAATAATTATAACTTTTTCAATATCATTACAAATTCCTTTCTTTTCATACAAAGAACAAAGTTATATTACCTCAATATAGAGGTCACTAATTGGTTTGATAACTAAAACTGCAAGTCAAGGTTATTTTAAGGATACTATAAAATGTGACCTAGCATAAAACCTTGTAGAACGACTTTTTAATATTTCGGCAATGGACTGAATTTCAAATAATGGCATTAAACCTAGTACTTATACATCTAATGTAATACAATGCCGTAATATTGACCAATGTCTTATTATATGCGAAACTTGTAATAACTATTATAATGTTATGTTACGTTAGATAGAATGTGAACTGAATTGTTATCAAATGCTGTCTCGAAATCGGATAAGTTAAATTTGGCTAATTTTGAGGAATTTCAACATTTATTTGGACTGATTTTTACTTAATAGTGTTTACGTATTTTTAAACAGAGTCTCTGGCGTCGTATTCAAAGATCGTGGTGTCATCTGTAATTTCGATCGTAATTTACCATAAATATTCATTGCATCGTCAACATTGTTCACTTTGCATTGTATGCGAATTACAAGATTCCGTGACCCGTTAAGGCAAAATTTTGACGCAAGTGTTTCACAAGAACTCGCGTGTTACGGAGATTCAGTTTGATTTATACGCATCGTAATCAACTTTATGTTCGGTTAAATAACGTGACTGGGGAATTTATGACAAGGAAAAGATTGCTCGTGAATCAAAAAAAATCATGATAAGTGCCAATTTGCATACAGAAAAGACAGCAATTAATACACATTGATGAAAAACGTAGCCAAGGTATTGATTAAAATTAAATATATTGACACACGTGCAATCTTTATGAAAGCTGTATAAATTTTTATTCTTGCTGTTTCAATAAGTAAATTATTAGGTAAGCAATATAACGGCTCGGAGACAGTTGACTCTTGAGTTTAAAACTTTCAGAGGGAATTTCCAACCACAAGGCCCATTTAATGCAGCTCATGGCAATTTCTCTGTTTCTAAATTAGACTGTGTGACTGTTTTGTTTTTTTTTAACATTATAAAATATCATGTAGTTACAATCAAGCAAATATACAAGAACATTTATAATTAAAGATCGCTTTCCTTCTTTAGTTTGACCTCTGATTTAGGTACTACGATTAATATGTAATTCATAGAATTATAAATTACAAAACTATTTAAAGAGTAACAAAGAAAAACTGCTATGTGCCCAAACTGGTATATCCCGTATTTTAGCCCGTATTTATGGCAACTCCTCAGTTTTATTATATGCAGATAAACGAAAAAAAAAATAGTTACATCGATAACGTATGGTAAAAAAACAATTTTAAGAGACGAACTCATCATTTAGTTTAAAAACATTATAAAAGACTGGTATCAGAGGTGGTTGTCATGAAAACAAAAGAAATAAATATCTCTTATATACTCTTTTGATATTTTTAAAACAATTACAAGAAATATCGCAAGAATACGATTCCGAGTGGAATTAAAATTTAGACCGACGCGTTATGATCAACGCGACATCGTTCAAAAGCCTACCGCATTGGTTGATATACCTATTGACGTCTGATGGGTACTTGAAAGGAACTGTCCAAGTACTGGCATTGGCAATTGAGATTTATTCAATTGAATAGAAGTGGTCAAATTATAGCACCCAGTTTAAGAAACTACAAGGATCATATTTTAAACAAAACTGAATCTACAAAGAAATGGTAATATTTAGTTGAATTATCAGGACTACCAGAGCAAGTTACATTTAATTTTTACAGAAGCGACACATACAAAGTGCAATTATATTGAATGTAGCCACATTCATCATATTTAGAGACTTGTAGTGCAATGAATAGGATATGAGTATTAATTACAACAAACAAATTATTGGATTGAAATAGGCTATTTATGGAACAATCACATAAGATACCGTTGCTTGTAATCAAAATTTAACTGTCTACTGAGAAGTATATTGGTGAAGAAACAACATTGACTAAGTCGTTGTGTTTATGAAGTTAGGCCTTGTCGAGCTAGAAGATTGGCTCTATACGAGAAACTAAGACGAACTTTGACAGTGCGATTCATATGGTCTCACCTTGGCAGAATTTTACATGAAAATGTTTTTGGTGGGATGCTACTTTGAGAGACTTGCATACTGAAATTTTTGCGGTCAGTAGAATAATATAGGTAATTATGCTTACCACAGCCTGTGGGTCCAAGTAGGAGTACATTGCTCTTGTCGAGCCTGAGCTCGTGGTTCTGTCTCTCAAGTATTTCGGTACCGCCCCCTCCGCCACCGCTGCTATTGCTCAGGTGAAGTAGATCTGAAAAGGAAACATGATTACAATATCTACACTATATTTATTACTCTCGTGTATTACTATTGTAATGGTTATTGAGTACACTCTGTTTAGGGAAACTAGCTAGTAGCGACGAGAGGTAAGCTCTTCTGTCATTGGTTGGATAGTATTATTGTATGTTACCCCGGCCAATGACAAGCCTGTTTATTGACGCAATTTCAAAAACCGATTTTGTGATTAAGAAAGCGCTCCACTAACAGGTTTTCTTGAATAGTTTATAAATGTCCCCACTGCTGGGGCTCAGGCCTTACCTGCGCATGGAATAGGGAGAATGGGTGAACCACTACCGGCACGGTTGCAGATTAGAGGGCTCTAGCAACTGCAGATGCAGGACCAATGACTCAACGTGGCTTCCGAAGCGCGAAGGAGCACGACTTAATACAATTTTGGCTACCAATCTTAAGACCGGCCATTGTAATAAAGTTGCTGTAATCGATGGCTGGAGCAGTGGAATGTTTTAAATTGAATAAAAACTACCTCAATTAATTAGATATAATTTATATATTTTCTGTAATTATATATTAACGGACTATTAGACAGCAATATAAGAAGGAACACACAATAGAAAAAATTTAAATGCCGTAGATATTTTCAGAGTCGTAAATAACAGGAATGCATTCAAGTAATTACTAGTTATAAAAATGCAAGGTATTAAGTGCCGATTCTTTATATCATGCAAAGCTTATAATTTTGCCACAAACGGCATTAATGCAAAATTACAATTGCTATATAATTCTTTAGCAACTTAATGCATCGTTGATACATTATTTTTGCCTTTTCAAAAAAACGATACGATAACGTTGTAAAACGATAAAATTTTCAAAACGAATTAATTAATCTTTAAAAAATAAAAAATAAATCTAGAATCTAGCAGATAATGTAGTTTTTGTTGTTCTGAATAAAATGTACAATTAATGACTAACATAGCATTATAGTAATTAAGAGGAGGAGCTCGATGGCGCAAGTCGTTAGCGCGTTCGGCTGCGATCGTTGAATTTAAGCAACTTTCGCAGTAGTCGGTCATTGGATGGGTGACCAAAAATCTTCTATCTCGAGTTTCTCCGTGCTTCCGAAGGCACGTTAAGCCGTTGGTCCCGGCTGCATCTGCAGTCGTTAGCACCCGCCAATCCGCACTGGGCCCGCGTGGTGGGTCATGGCCCTATCTCCCTATTCCATCCATAGGGAAGGCCTGTGCTTCAGCAGTGGAGACATTAATAGGCTGATGATGATGATGATGATGATGATGATAGTAATTAAATGTACATTTTATTCAAACAACGAAAACTCCATTATCTGCTAGATTCTTAAATTATTTAATAGTTTTGCTAACAAAAAAACAAGCAAAGGTCATATTATATTATGCCTGCTAAGCGACACGCTTTCACTGTCGTCGACAAAGGAAAAATAACTGAAACCATTTTTTTTTTCGGGCAATCGATTAACGTTCCAAAGAATAGACGCCTAGACCACTTTCTCGGTAAGAAAGTGTTTCAAAGACAATATTACTGTGACTATTGTAGTTTCGGTAATAGCCAGTGGTATTTTTCTTTTCAATAATCGACATCGAAAAGGTTTCGCAATAGGCGTTCAAAATATTCAGCATTCTTGGCGACAATAGGGATGATGACTATTTTTTTTTTCTTCGTTTATCAGGTAGATTATCAAGAAGTTTTGGACGCGTATTTTTTCTTTTTTCACATAATATAAACATTGCATAGATATATTGATTTGAAAAGTCGCATGACGTCACGTTTGAGTACACTTATAAGTGAAAATTCACTCAAAAGTGACGTCACGAGCCCCTACTCCCAAACTTTGACGCGCTATAACTTTGTCATTTTTTGGTTGATTGCCCAAAGAAAAAATACGTGTCCATTATTTTTTGATCATCTAACTGACGGACTAAATAGAATTTCGTTTACTGTACCCCGTCATCACCCCTATTGTTGTAACTTGCAGTTTGAAACAACCTTCAGTTTAGTTCTGAGGTTACACAGAAACGATACCCTATCTAAAGTTAAAAAGTCAAATATTGTTAAATTAGCCGCCGCCCGCGACTTCATACGCGTGAAGTTAGTAAGAAATAAATGTTCACTGCTCGTTCCCCGTAGGTGATAGCGTGATAATATGTAGCCTATGGGCTATAGTCAAAGTTTGGGAGTAGGGGCTCGTGACGTCACTTTTGAGTGAATTTTCACTTATAAGTGTACTCAAACGTGACGTCATGCGACTTTTAAAATCAATATATCTCTGCAATGTTTATATTATGTGAAAAAAGAAAAAATACGCGTCCAATACTTTTTGATAATCTACCTGATAAACGAAGAAAAAAAAAATAGTCATCATCCCTATTGTCGCCAAGAATGCTGAATATTTTGAACGAAAGCCTATTACGAGACCTTTTCAATGTCGATTATTGAAAAGAAAAATACCACTGGCTATTACCGAAACTACAATAGTCACAGTAATATTGTCTTTGAAACACTTTCTTACCGAGAAAGTGGTCTAGGCGTCTATTCTTTGGAACGTTAATCGATTGCCCGAAAAAAAAAATGGTTTCAGTTATTTTTCCTTCGTCGGCGACAGTGAAAGCGTGTCGCTTAGCAAGCATAATACAATATGACCTTTGCTTGTTTTTTTGTTAGCAAAACTATTAAATAATTTAAGAATCTAGCAGATAATGGAGTTTTTGTTGTTTGAATAAAATGTACATTTAATTACTATCATCATCATCATCATCATCATCATCATCATCAGCCTATTAATGTCTCCACTGCTGAAGCACAGGCCTTCCCTATGGATGGAATAGGGAGATAGGGCCATGACCCATCACGCGGGCCCAATGCGGATTGGCGGGTGCTAACGACTGCAGATGCAGCCGGGACCAACGGCTTAACGTGCCTTCCGAAGCACGGAGAAACTCGAGATAGAAGATTTTTGGTCACCCATCCAATGACCGACCACTGCGAAAGTTGCTTAAATTCAACGATCGCAGCCGAACGCGCTAACGACTTGCGCCATCGAGCTCCTCCTCTTAATTACTATAATGCTGTGTTAGTCATTAATTGTACATTTTATTCAGAACAACAAAAACTACATTATCTGCTAGATTCTAGATTTATTTTTTATTTTTTAAAGATTAATTCGTTTTGAAAATTTTATCGTTTTACAACGTTATCGTCACAGACGTAGCTATAATATATATTAATATGAATCATAGCAAGACATATCACAACATATTTTCAATATAAATTTTCGAGTGACCGCACACGCAGCTATAATATATATTTCTATGACGTCACCAAAATATGTCGACAGATATATTTTGGCATATTAGTGTATATTTTGGTATATATATTTTTATGATACGGTATGTTTCATTTTTCACCGAACGCCTGCCAAAATATATATTATAGCCGTGCCCCGCGGTTTCACCCGCGTTTTTCTCGTTTCCGTGGAAATACTGAGATAAAATATGCAAGCAAGCGCGCGTGGATTTCCTTAGCAGAATTATTTTAGAAATGTATTTATTATACTCTTCAAAGATCTTATACTTACAATCATCAACAAATATATTTCGAAAAAGATTATTACAGGATTTTATGTTAATAAAAAACTCTATGGCCCATAACTCATTAATAGGTACCAAGTCTTAACATCTTACACACGTGATAACTTTTAAACGAAATATCCGATTGAGATGAAACAAAAAGTATTTTACTTCTACATAAATACTCTTGGTAACATAATGCTTAATTTCGATAAATATTAATATTACGATACATATTTATCGTAGTTTTTTTTTTTAGGCGATGTAATAATTATTTTGAACACAAAATCGGTTATTGTGATTAAACCATGATAGCTAGATATATGTTCTCGCAGACTTTTTTGTAGGTCTTAATGGGATCTACAAACCCATAGTACATCATTTTGTTCTATTGTCAATAGTTTTTGCAGCGCACGCAAAAATAGGTTTTCGATTTTACACCTTGTGTTACGAAATAGCTATTTTATTACGGATCCCTAATTTTGAAAGAAAAAAAATATAGCCTATAGCCTTCTTCGATAAATGGAATACCCAACACTGAAAGAATCATTCAAATCGGACCAGTAGTTCCAGAGATTAGCGCGTTCAAATAAACAAACAAACTCTGCAGCTTTTTAATATTAGTATAGAAGTATAGATAGTACAGCTCCCGTCTGTGGTAGTTTGTATAATATAATATCTCGATATATAAATATATATAGCTACGTCTGTGACGGGATATATTTTGGCATATTAGTATAATACGGAATGTTCAACTTCTATTTTTCGTTCCTGACAAGGCAACATGCATATCAAATTCAGCATCGGAATCATCCTCTGAGGAACTTTCAATTAAATCTAAAAGTAGTGCTCTTGTCGAATTCATTTCGGTAAGATCGATTATAACGTTATTTCAAAATTAAAACACCCTGTGCTAGAAAATAAGCTTTAAAACCGTGCGCTTGCAAAAACGACCGCAGACCGAGTGAGGGCAAAATATATATTATAGTATAGCTCCCGTCTGTGGTAGTTAGCTATAATATAATATATATTTAGATATATTAATATATATTATAGCTACGTCTGTGACGGGCTTATATGTTGACCCGACTTCTGAATAATATTCGTGCCAAAGGAGATTGTTCAAATTGGCACAAAAAATATTGACATACACGGTAATTCTTGGCGTAATTTATAATTTAATTTACAATCATTAGATTTCAACGGACACCTTTGTATAATATATTTACTTTAAAAAGGACTTTTAATTTTACCGGTTTGGAAAACATACGAATCATTTTTAATGGCTATGGGTGTAGTAACATTCAGCGAAAGACTGATCGAAGTTGTTTATATAACATAAAAACAAATCTATTTTGTAAGGATCGATAAAAAATTTTTTTTGATTACACTGTGGTATTAATATCCACAATTTTATTATCATTTTCACTACATGGAAATGTGCTCAGACAATTATTATAGATGGTAGGCGACATCATAAAGTCTATTGCCATATATTTTTCGCTTTCTTTGGTTAACGAGAATTTAAAAATTCTCTCTAATCTGTGGCTCATTCACAATCATCACACAGTTTCTGTCACAGAGTACCATAATATAACCGGAAATGCATAGATGACACCTGATTTTTAAAGTTACTCTTATGCATTAACTTTAAAAACATGCAACTATCTGTTAATCTACATGCTCTATATACCTGAATCTTATCCATAATTTCGGTACTTGGCTTGATTTCCTTAATTTACTATATAACTTATTTGTTTTTTATTATTTTAATATGTTCAGTGTATATAGTTTATAGAAGTTCTCAGGGGTGTCCGTCAATAATATTCCTTTCTACAGTAATTTATATATGATTTTGAATCTAGGAAACAATTTTTCATGATTATTGGTCTTTAGCCCAAACATGTATGGAAGCTGAGCAATCTCCTTTGAAGTAAATCCATGCAGTACTTTTTGAGTTTATCCCGGACATACATACAGACAAACCAAAACAAAAACTATATTTTTGGCTTCGGTATCGATTGTAGATCACACCCCAAGTATTCTTTTAAAAAAATATACAATGTACAGTTTTTACATTCCTACCGTTTTATTATATGTATAGAGTATGTTCAGCGTTGGGAAGTGATAATTTAGTTTCTGAATTATTTAAGATAATCTTGTTTCTGAATTAATTAAGATACATAGGTCCGTCCGTGATGAGATAACAATTTGCCATGGACTAAAAATATGTGCTAAGCATGCAAGTATGTTATGTATGCACAAACGTGCATGATTTCTCACACTTCACACTAATATTATAAAGGCGAAAGTTTGTGAGTGTGTATGTTTGTTACTTCTTCACGTCTAAACGGCTGGAGCGATTTTAATAAAATTTGGTATGGAGTTAGCTGACACCCTGGATTAACACATAGGCTACGTTTTACTGCGGGAAAATATCCCTAATAAACCGCGGGGCACAGCTAGCAATCTTATCATTGACAGTTGCTAAAAGCTGTATCATCATCATCAGCCTATTAATGTCCCCACTGCTGGGGCACAGGTCTTCCCTATAGATGGAATAGGGAGATTGGGCCATGACCCACCACGCGGGCCCAGTGCGGATTGGTAGGTGCTAACGACTGCAGATGCAGCCGGGACCAACGGCTTAACGTGCCTTCCGAAGCACGGAGGAGCTCGAGATAGTAATTTTTGGTCACCCATACAATGACCGACCACTGCGAAAGTTGCTTAACTTCAACGATCGCAGCCGAACGCGCTAATCACTTGCGCCGTCGAGCTCCTCACAAAAGCTGTATACTAATTTAAAACAACACATTCTTTCATAAATATAAGACATAACATATACTTTTTTAAATAAAAACTCAACTCGCTTGCATAATTTATGACTATTTTTTTTTTTAATTCAATTTGTAGTTCTTCGTTTAGTTCTAAGTTCATTTGGCACCATTTTATTGTAGATATTATTTTGGCAGTGAATACTGCACTGAGTTCAACAAATTGTAATGCCATTTGGATCGACGTAATATTTCATTCTATACTTGTTTGGAATAAACCTGTTGGAATAGTAAAAACCCAAGATTTTTATTTAAGAATACTTGTGGTACGATTGCTTTGCAAATATTTTTAAACGCTTGAGCTTCACTTTACAATATATATATTTAATCTCGATAAATGAATGAGAAGCTCGATGGCGCAAGTGGTGAGCGCGTTCGGCTGCGATCGTTGAACTTAAGCAACTTTCGCAGTGGTCGGTCATTGGATGGGTGATCAAAAATTACTATCAAGAACTCCTCCGTGCTTCGGAAGGCACGTTAAGCCGTTGGTCCCGGCTGCATCTGCAGTCGTTAGCACCTACCAATCCGCACTGGGCCTGCGTGTTGGGTCATGGCCCAATCTCCCTATTTCATCCATAGGGAAGGCCTGTGCCCCAGCGGTGGGGACATTGATAGGCTGATGATGATGATGATATTTAATCACGTGTCAATGCATAACATTAGCCGCATAATCCTAACCGATATCATAGTAGAAATCGCCAAAATACATTCTGTTACTAGTAACAACAATATTTGTCTAAGAAGTATTTTAGTTTAGTATTCTCAGGAATATAGAAGTTTTGTTTATATAAGACGAGACCCCTCTGTTTTTATGTAGTGTAAGGGATGGTGCCATTGCCCGAAGTGTACCTAGATGTTGTTATTAATAATAATATTCTTTATTGACATACATCTCACAGGACGTATAAAACATGACAGTGTAAAAGTACACAGTAGGAGGCCTTATTGCTAAACAGCAAACTCTTACAAGCAAACCACGACAGTGGAATAAATAAATAAGAGGAACAAGAAAGGGATGTAATAAGTATGGTAAAATACGTGTGGCACTATTGCATAGCATTTATCAACTCATGAAATTATAGTTATTTATTTAATTTATTTATGCAGTATTTTTTTTCTTCGATATTTATTCAAGCTTTTTCTTTGATATTTTATTGGTTAAGCACAGCAAACAACAGCATTGCCCGGCGCCAAATAACTTCCACAAGCTCCACAGTTTACCATCTTTTGTCGAAAAATTTAAATTATAATTATAAAGTCTAAAAAAAATGCGAGTGCGGGATTTGTACCGACGACCGCGGTGATGCGTCGAACTTTGGTCCCGTGGCAAAAATTTGTCACACTGCGCCGTTTCGATACTGAAAATGCGAAAATTGTGTTCATATACACTCTTCTCAGGTTATTTTCGTTACGGAATTTCTTGATTCGGTCGCTGCGCTCAAAGCCCGCGATAAAATCTATGCAATAGCTTAATAATAAAAAATGCAAAAGATATACAAAAGACTGAGACAAGAGTCAGGTAAGGTTCAAAGCATCGTATTCATCATTCACACGTACTGTTGCTGAACACGAGACACTCACCTCTGTGTGTGTGGTGTAAGGGATGGTGCGTGTCGCCCGGAGTGCCGCCGGTCACGTTGTTGTAGATCCTCTTGTAATGGTTGTACACCGCCACCGATAGTACCTTCTTTGCGTACTCTTGGCCTACAACGTGCTTGTTTAGGTATTCGAAGATTTTCTTAGGCGGCGGCGGGGGTTTTCTGGTGACAACAAAAATATATTCGAAGTTAAAACCGTCGTGCAGCCGTCCTACGGAATGAACTACATTAATGGCCACTTGAAGGCAATTTGCTGAATCTCGATTCAACAAAAACTAGCTTTAACAAAAAGTGTCAAAGCGCCAATGTCAATTTGTCATTTCTATTATATCACTAGTTTAAATTAAATTGAGATTTAGCAAAATTCCATCTACGATATACGTTATACGAACTAAGTTACCTGAATAAAAGACATAAATCTTTTCTGAGACAATAAAGGTAAAGGAGGAGCTCGATGGCGCTACTGGTTAGCGCGTTCGGCTGCGATCAATGACGTTAAGCAACTTTCGCAGTGGTCGGTCATTGGATGGGTGACCAAAAATTTACTATCTCGAGCTCCTCCGTGCTTCGAAAGGCACGTTAAGCCGTTGGTCCCAGTTGCATCTGCAGTCGTTAGCACCCACCAATCCGCACGAGGCCCGCGTGGTGGGTCATGGCCCAATCTCCCTATTCCATCCATAGGGAAGGCCTGTGCCCCAGCAGTGGGGACATTAATAGGCTGATGATGATGATGAAAGGTAAAGACTTGCATTAACGAACCAGAATTCATTGCATAATTCTAAGAATCTAGCCGAAAAACAACTGTCAGTCCGTCGCCTACGGCAGTTGCCGAATACGCCCTATCCGATAATAGGCTTCTACTGGGAGGGAAGCTGCGATGCAATATACTTTTTGACCCTTCTCTATTGCTAAAGCAGTTACAGTATCAACTTTCATTAAACTTAATAATATTACCTCAATTAGTGCGGCGGGGCGGTCATTAAAATCGAAAGTTAAGACTATAAAAGCTTGGGTATGCATAGTATCACAATCCGGACTGCGGTGAACTTATTTGTAGATATAAAAATTGGTATTGTTTACAAACTTATGTAGGTAAGCATATTATTATCATTTGAGGACTTAGGCCCGTATTATAGATTTCTCAATCACTGAGAATATAGTCTTGAGCATAGTTAGAAAGGGATGTCGATATATATAGCACATAGCGACATCCGTTTCTAACTGTACTCAAGTAAAGATACGGGCCTTAGATAGGGTTACCATATCTCAGCATTTGTCCTGAGATTGCAGGATTTTTGGACTCTTCTCAGGATTGCGGCTGGATTTTGCAAATCTCTTGAAATCTCAGGATTTTTTGATTTTTCAATAAAATACAGCTAACGTTTAAAAGATCTGTTTAATAAAAACTTAAACAAATTAAAAATAATCTTCCTTTGATAATAATTGCACAGTTAAAATCAGTACTTATTTATCCAAGTAGGTACTTGATCAGTTTTATCATACTTAATATGTGATGATACATTTTTAACGAAGGTTTTTGAAGTTATACTTCTTGAGGCGCGTTATGAAAAAATGATGAGAGTGAAATTTTAAGATGCGCGCGCATCACTGTAACACAAAATTTTAACAGTGTGTGTACTTTTGTTTACCGCACATTAAGAAAATCTACCAACAAAATAGAAATAGAATCTCTATTTAGTGGGTGCTAACGACTGCATTGTGAAGGCCTATCAAAAGTATTTATTAATCTGAAACAACGGAACCAAAGCGCGATTCAGGAGAGTACAGCGCCATCTCTTGACCATTGGTGTAGTAGAACCAAAAACCACATCTTTATTTTTTGTAATAAAGTGAAAGTTATAGGTATTCATATTTATAATATCAAAAGTATTTATTAATCTGGAACAACGGAACCAAAGCGCGATTCAGGAGACTACAGCGCCATCTCTTGACCATTGGTGTAGTAGAACCAAAAACCACATCTTTATTTTTTGTAATAAAGTAACAGTTATAGGTATTCATATTTATAATATTTATCCACATGTTTCTAGTTTGTATATTCGGAATACGTGTTTGAGTTTCATACAAGTGCAAATCACATATGTTCTAATAAATTATATTCAGTAGCGATTTTAATTGAATATTTTGATTATTTATTTATTTTTTCAAATTAAAACTGAACTTTATTGACTGTGTCCTTTTCCAGACTTTTTATTAATTTATTGTAATTAATTATTTGCATGCAATTAAAAACTAATTTTAAACGATGCCAAAGAAGGATAACGTCTCACGCGCCTACATAAGTACCTACACGCACCCATTTTTTTCTTTAATTATGGATTTATAAAATGTCTTACATGTTAAGCTCTTCAAATTATATTGAATTAAAAGTGTAAGCAGTATGTATATAAACGATAATATTACGACTTTTCTAAATTGTTAAGTACGTTTGAGAGAAAATTCTCAAACTGTAAAAATCTCAGGATTTATCAATGGAAATGAAGCCTTTTCTCCGGACTTTTGATTTTTTCATCTGGTAACCCTAGCCTTAGACATCTTGTTTCGTCCATTTCGTCCAAATAATCTTTCTAAATTTTAAATGGCATCGTTAATTTTTTACGATAACATTTAAAATTTGCACTATCATTCCGTCCCCTTTATGCGCTATCATACGTAGCGTATCGGCTTTTGATCTCAACATCGGCCGTATAAAAGAAAGTTGTTACAGAAGCGTTATATAAGGTCGCCAATTCACGCTGATCTGAAAACGGTAACTTATTACTTTTTATTATTCTTGCAAAACAGTCTAATAAAAATATTGCCTTTCCGATTTTAAATAAAATCAAAGTTTTCAAATAATTTATATAATAAAGTATTTTGAGAAAAAAAGGTTACCTTTTTTTTACCGTTTTCAGATCAGCGTGAAGTATTACGGAAGCAGATTTATTACAATTATTTACCCCCTCCTCCCCCTCGTCAGCAAAAGTAAGCAAAGCTCTTACCCCCCCCCCCCCCCATCCCTACGTAAACATTGGTTTGCGTGGGATTTAACATGGGATTTATCCACATGTTTCTAGTTTCTATATAGACACAACGTGTTTTAGTTACTTACAAGTGCTAATTACATATGAACTAATAACTTAAATTCAGTAGTGATTTTAATTGAATATTTTGAATATTTATTTAATTTTTCAAATTAAAACTGAACTTAATTGACTGTGTTAACTATCCTTTTCCAGTCCTTTTATTATTTTATTGTAATTATTAATTATTTGCATGCAATTAAAAAATATTTTTAATGATGCTAAAGAAGTATAACTTCTCACGCGCGTACATAAGTTACACGCATCCATTTATTTTTTCTTTTTTTCCTTTTTTCATTAGCTATAATTTTCAAAATGTTATATTTTTTGTATGTTATTTTGTGATGTAATGTGGTCAACAAAATGTTTCTCTCTCTCTGATAGTGCATGCAAGACAAATGACGTCATGGCCATCATCGTTGCGAGCAATGTCATGGGTTCGACGACCTTGCACTGATGTAATGTTTGCTGATCTGATTGTTTTCGGATGTTTCGCCGCAGTACCCGTAAGGCATCCGTGTCAGAGCGAATTGGAACGACTCATTGCCGGCATAGAGCAGATTATTGCTGAGCAAACAAACGACGACTTTGTATAACCTTTATGTAGTTAGAGTAAAGATTCGAGCGTGTTTTGTTATAATAAGCGTGCGAAGAGAAAAAAAAACATCAGAATTTTGATTTTAATAATAAATAATAATATTTCCAACACTCACACCAATTAGCCTAGCCCCAAAGTAAGCACTATAAGGCTTTTGTTATGGGATACTAGGGCAACGGATAGAATACATATACTGTACATATATAAGTATATTTATATAGAAAATACATATTAAACATCCATGACTGGAGTACAAATGCTCGTATTCATCACACAAACATCTGCCCCCACCGGGAGTTGAACCCAGGACCTCTCGAGTCGGCGACACCATGAAACCCGGCGTTCAAACCACTCGGCCACGGAGGTCGTCTAAAATATACTTTAGAGTTTGAAATATGTAAATATCTGTTAAAGTAGTCGTAATCGTCTCCCTGATTTCCACCGAAAGACAACTTTCTAGACCCAATCATAATTTTAACGTAAATGTCCGATCGTTACAAACAAATCAACTCGAAACGCAAAAGCCTCATCATTATTACAGTAATGCCATGAAAAGTGGATTGCAATCGGACATAAACATAATATTATTATGTAAGAAGAAAGCGAATGTCCTACAGCACCCGTAGCCATAGATATGTGGAGGTTTTATTGAAATATGTCACACTAATATAAAGGCGAAAGTTTGTGAGTGTGTATGTTTGTTACTTCATGTCTAAACAGCTGGAGCGATTTTATTAAAATTTGGTATGGAGTTAGTTGATACCCTGGTTCGAATCCCGGTGGGGGCAGATGTTTGTGTGATGAATACGAGCATTTGTACTCCAGTCATGGATGTTTACTATGTATTTCTATATAAATATACTTATATATGTACAGTATATATATTCTATCCGTTACCCTAGCATCCCATAACACAAGCTTTACAGTGCTTACTTTGGGGTTAGGCTAATTGGTGTGAGTGTTGGAAATATTTATTTATATGAAAACTTTGGACTGATTTCATATTAGCTCTGATGATTTCTGATTACGAAACATTGACTCAAGTTACGTCCGATCTTAAAATGTAAAGCACAATAAGAATTGAAGAGGCTGTCAAATAGAATTTTAGGTTTAGAGAATCAAAAACGGGGAGGAAATTTTCTAAGCCCGCACAGAATTGTATAGTGACAAGGTTCCTTAATCTGGTGGAAGGGTAAATCTTCAAATTAATATGAGAAAAGGGAACGGCATAAACGAGGAGCTCGATGGCGCCAGTTAACAACTACCTCTTTTAAAGTTGTACCAAACATAATTTCGGCATTGCATAGAATATTGGTGTCACCTTTGTGTGACGGTTCGCTCAAATACCAGCTAGTTGCGCACAATGTAATAGATTACCGATCCAGTACTGAACGCGGCACGTAACTCTAGCGCTGAACAAAACACGTCAGGGATAGTTGCGCATGGGTACGACTGGAGAGCCAATCGGCTCAACGCACGCCCCCCCCGCGCACCTCGTTTCCCTCCAACACATCTTAATTTTTACTTCTGCGCAATAACGGTCAGCGCTAGATTTTTTTTGAGTGTGTATGCTGTTGGTCGCAGATGACCTTTACAGCGTCTCCGGGTTTGGGGACGGCGAGATCCTAAGGGGACCTCAAGCCGAGAATTGTCGAGTGCCTCTAGAGGTATTCCAGGCAGATGGCGTCTCCCCACGGGGGGGGAATCTCCTCCGTCTGAAGCCTCTAGACCACTCGAACCTGAGGGGGTAGGCTCAACTAGAGGGCGTCTCTGAGACTCGGACCTCGGCTCTAGTTAGCCGTTGTTGGGGGCGGGGAAAAACGCCCAGGTAGCTGGTATAGCGTGTCGTGTGTAGACCGTGTCTTCGCACTGTTATCCTACGGGTGCGGTGCCTGCCTAATGCTAAGCTAGTGTGTACGTTTGCTAGCTGTGTAGTGTTGGTGTTTGTGGCCTGTGTGGGAGGAGTCGGAGGCGGCAGCGCTAGAGTTTCGTGCCGTTTAATGAAGATAAGAGGCTACTTGAATTCAAGCTTCTAAGCCTGTTTTACTGCCGTGTATTAGGTAAAGTAGCTTGCTTTGTAGTATTTTTACCGGCTGTAGAGTACGCATATTCCTTTCAATATCCAGACGTTTAAATATATTATAATTATAATAATATCACGTAAGAGTTAAAAGAACAAGGTGATCACTGTCACCTTGTTTGGAAAAAGTTTGGAAACAATAAATTCATTCAATGTCAATCCTTATGAAGCTGCTATGGACGATGCGAGGTCATGACTACTGCAGTATTATAACCGCAGTCTGAAGTCACCTCTTCGACACATAAATATACAAATAGGAAATAGGAATGTAATTCAAATAAGCCTCATTTTATTTTTATACTAGTGGCCCGCCCTCTCTTCGCTTCGGTGTAGAGCTGTAGTGTAAACTATAGTTTTTGTTCTCAGGCTTGTGCTATAAAGAATGACTTTATTTATATAATTACACGTGTTATTGTGAGTCAACCATAAAAGATAGACATATATTGTTGCGGGATATTTTTTAGACAATTTTATGTGGAATATTTCCGTCATACATGATTTCTATGTAACTTTAACCATTAAGGCTGCACCCACGACGGCAGCTTAAAAAATGGAGTAACTTCTCCCGTTTTCCCAACATTTCCCTTCAAAAGTAAAAAAAGTATACTATAACCTGCCCAGGAGTATGAAGAATAATTGTACCAAGTTTCGTTAAAATCCATTGAGTAGTTTTTGTTTCTATAAGGAACATACACACAGACAGACAGACAGACAAAGATTTTACTGATTGCATTTTTGGCATCAGTATCGATCACTAATCACCCCCTGATAGTTATTTTAAAAATATATTTCATGTACAGAAATGACATCTCTACAGATTTATTATAAGTATAGATAAACTCTATTACTTTGTAGTTGTACCTTCATTAAAATTTCTTTTCGAGCAAGAAATTAAAGATAAAAGTGCGAAAACCTTGTTCGAAATTCTAATATTTGAAACGCGACGAGAGCGGTTGTGATGTAAAAATATATCATCATCATCAGCCTATTTATATCCCCACTGCTGGTGCACAGACCTTCCCTATGAATGGAATAGGGAGATTGGGCCATGACCCACCATGCTGGCCCAGTGCGGATTGGTGGGTGCGGACGACTGCAGACGCAGGCGGGACCAACGGCTTAACGTGCCTTCCGAAGCACGGAGCTCGAATTTTTGGTCACCCATCCAATGACCGACCACTGCGAAAGTTGCTTAACTTCAACGAACGCAGCCGAATGCGCTAACCAGCCGCGCTATCGAGTTCCTCCAGTAAAAATAAATACCTAACAACAAAGCCAATATTAATGAGATTATAGTGCGAAGGCGTAGATGTCAAAGCCGCGTTCCACTTAGACACCGAATGCAATTTTTCATAACATTTACATTTTTACTAAAATATTAAAATATTCATTAAGATTATAAAATGCATTATATATTAACCATCATGATCAATGATATATTACCAACCATTCCACCTACAAGCGTTGTAGATGAACGTGTATTTTCGACCAATATATAACGTGTATTTGAATAATTTAATATATTTATTCAATGACTAAACGTTAGACAACCCCGTGTCCTGTGGTCGTTTTCAAAAAATATTTTTAAAGTTTAGAATTTACATGACTTTATTGACTACAAAATGATTGTTAATAATTTTTTGAATTACCTACTTAAAAGTTTACGTATTTAAATTGAATTACGGTGTATTCGCTCGAGGAGCTCGATGGCGCAAGTGGTTAGTGCGTCCGCAGTGGCAGTGGTCGGTCATCGGATGGGTGACCAAAAATTACTACCTCGAGCTCCTCCGTGCTTCGGAAGGCACGTTAAGCCGTTGGTCCCGGCTGCATCTGCAGTCGTTAGTACCCACCAATCCGCACTCGGCCCGCGTGGTGGGTCATGGCCCAATCTTCCTATTCCATCCATAGGGAAGGCCTGTGCCCCAGCATTGGGAACATTAATAGGCTGATGATGAAAGCGTATTCGAAAGATTCATATTATTCGAATAGTTTTTATTGCCCTACACTCACCTATAGAATCCTGACTTGTTCTCGGCGTTGTCTTTGATGCTCTTCTTGGTGTCCACTTCGCTGAGCACGACGAAGAAGTGGTGGCACTTGTCGCACTTGACGAACCGGGTGGAGCTGACAAAGGTCTCCACGTGGGTGCAGGGGTCGCCGCACTTGGGGCACGTGAGCACACCGTTGTTACCGGAGCCGGATTTCTTGCCGCCCGATGTGCCTGAGATGGAAGAATGAAATTTAAGATGGGAAAGAGAGGTAGAACATAGTAGTTTTGATGTCATTATAGTAGGGGAGCCCAAACGGGGATTTTTGGATTTACTCAAGCGCGGCAGAATAACATATGGGGAGCAACCTTGCACCTAGTTAAGTACTCCCACTATACCTGAGCCATCTATGTAGGGCCGAACGTCTAGGGCAGCAAAAACAAAATTTCAACGAACAGCCATGACTTTTGGTCGGGTCCAAATCGTCAGTCTTCTGAATAGGAGCTACTGGAGGGTTCACGTAACATCCCTTCTCAATGTCTGACGCGCTCGGTTATTTTTTCCTATATTCTACCCCTTCATACGGCCACCCCTATATCATGCAAACCGCGGTAGATCAATATTTTTTCCGTTTTTAGAAACGTTACATGAACTCTCTAGTAGCTTATATTCAAAAGACTGACGATTTGGGCGCGACCAAAAGTCATGACCGTTTGTTGAAATTTTGTTCAGGGTTCAGGTATGGTGGGAGTACTTAACTAGGTGCAAGGTTGTTATTCTGCCGCGCTCGAGTAAATCCAAGAATCCCTGCTTGGGCTCCCCTACTATAATGCTAAGATTCGCCATAATGAAAGAATGATAAAGTCATAATAATGGAAATGACGAAATCTCCAAACAGCGATGCACATAGCAGATATTGACGACCTCCTTGGCCGAGTGGTTTGTACGCCGGGTTTCATGGTGTCGCCAACTCGATTGGTCCTGGGTTCAAATCCCGGTGGAGGCAGATGTTTGTGTGATGAATACGAGCATTTGTACTCCAGTCATGGATTTTTAATATGTATTTTCTATATAAATATACTTATATATGTACAGTATATGTATTCTATCCGTTACCCTAATATCCCAATAACAGAAGCCTTATAGTGATTACTTTGGGGCTAGGCTAATTGGTGTGAGTGTTGGAAATATTTATTTATTGGTGTGACAAAAGATCATGTGATGTCAGATATGGTACCTGAGTTGACGGCTTCCTTGGGCGGCGGCTGGTGCGGCGGGCCGGGCGGCTGCTCCGTGGGGCTCTTGCACAGCACCACGCACGTGCTCAGCGACCGGGGACCGGCGCGGCGAAGCATGCGGCATTGTTGCACACCTGATGACAGGACCACCAGGTTTTATCAAGTACATTCCGGTTATAATTTAACTGCTCAATGTTTAAATCTAATGAAAATATTACTAGAAACAAATTAACGCTCTGTCGTCGGTGTTCTCTGAACTTACGACCATATTTGGTAGTGTTCTCCCCTTTTAAATAATTATAGAGCATGATAGACTGTTGTGGTTGTTCTGTGATTGGGCAAATATTTGAGTTGTGTAGTAAATTCCGTATGTAGAAAATGTAAAAAGAAAACAGTTTACTGTTTAGCGCATGATGAGGCCATCTTTAATTACAGTTATATTATATCCTAATACTTAAGCATATGTGTATGTTTGTTTGTATTAATATAGCTGTGTTGATGGTCCATAAATAAATAAATTAACGTCGACCAGGCAGCAGACGGGACTCGAACCTGCACCCTTCGCTATCCGGGCGAATGCACTGACCATTATACTACCGCAGCCTCGATGGCCGTGTCGAATTCTTTCTAGCCTTACTTAAGCTGCAAGGCAGCGCCATCTCTTCGCATTGTAGGCAACCCATTTCAGCCGCTCGAGTTTATTAGCAGTATGCATATAGCTTAAACCACTATAAACATAATCAAAATACGCTGTGGCGGCCACCTCTACATGTCCCACATATAATGAACATAGAGGAAATAGTCACTCGCCTCCTTAAGAGATGGCGCTACCGGCGCTGCGTTCACAACGTATGGAAGCCTACATCGCGCAAGAGAAATTCGGAGCCAAAACACTCTATATATACGATGCCCGACCAACATCTGTCGGGCCGCGGCCCCCGAGCTAACATCACCCATCTCGGAGGAAGATCTTCCTTTTTGGCCTTCCTACAATGCCATTACAATAAACGAAATTGTCGCGCTCTAAAAATTATAAGAACAAAATTATCACAATTAACTATTTGCACATTGTTTATCGACAACAAAGACAGGGCCTTGATTCCTTCGGATAAGTAAGTGATACGAACAATACCCCCATTGTTATGAAAGTCACTACTTGTTAGCGTTTTACCGGCGCTGCTAATTGTCGACTGTGAGTAATGCTACTTTCATCATTTCGATAATATCTATACTAGAGATGCGCCGAATATTCGGTCGAATATTCGTATTCGGTACATTCGGCATATTTTTTATAAAATATGCCGAATAATTAAATTATTATTATTATTTCAAAACAATGCTTTCCTTTCAAAATTAAGTTTAAATAAAAAGGTATGGTTCATTGTGAGAACTGTTGGTACACAGTTTTTATAAATGAATACATACATAAAGTCACGCCTTTCTCCCACAGGGGTAGGCAGAGATTACTTCTTTCCACTTGCTACGATCCTTACATACTTCTTTGGGGTATACTAGTTTTGACCATTTATAAATGAAAGACACACTTATTTGTGTAACAATTCTTTATTGACAAAACACTTATTAAAATTACCATTAAGAGATCAGAAAAACTAGTAAGTCTTATTTAGTAATAATAATCAATTAAATATTTATAGTTATAATTAGAACGCGCCCGTCTCTTGTAGAGTGCAGCACGGACTTGTATAAATCTGTTTGCCGCGCAAAATTGAACCGAATCATTCGGCCGAAACATTCAGTTCGGTACATTTTGAACCGAATATTCTGCCGAACATTCGTATTCGGTTGAACCCACATTCGGCGCATCTCTAATCTATACTAATATTATAAAGAGGAAAGGTTTGTATGAAAGTATGTTTGGAACGAATTAGCTCAAAAAGCACTTGACCGATTTCAAAAATTCTTTCACCATTTGAATGCTACATTATCACTGATTAATATAGGCTATTATTGTGTATTTTCAAAAAAGTTAGGATTCCGTATGAAAACTTCGATAATGTAACCCAACGTGTGTAAAAAAAACCTAAAAATAGCCTTATATCGCGTACGCTACGAAATTCATTGACAATAGAGCAAAATGATGTAATAAAGTTTTATAGATGATACCGATATCTACAAAAAAGTCCATAACTGTAATATTTAGACATAGATACTATGTATGCTTTCCAATTACAGAGCATAATGCGACTCAGTGCCGCACAATGCCCAATTATGCTGATGCTTAATTGGAACGCGAATTAGTTTTCAAATGCACCAGCAGAGTGCGCTAAGTTCAGTGTTGAAAGAAAAAGTCAATGTTTGTACCTTCATCCATACTTATATTTATTTTTTAATAGTTTGAATGAACTTTGATTATTTAAAAAAAACTATTTAATGAAACGAAAGCTTTAATAATTTTTCAACAATAAATAATATTAGTAACGATAACATATAAATAAAACATTTCGATCAATGCCAACTTAAAGAAAAAACACTTGTTAATTTTCTGTCTTTAAGTTCGTACCATTGCACGCATCACACGAAAGCATCACTTTTGAGAGTGCTCAATTGTGCGAAGCGTTGCTGTAGTTGGAACACTCAACGCACGGAGCACCCCCTAAGCATTATGCCGCATAATGCGCAATAATGCTGTAATTGGAAAGCAACCTATATGTCTAAATATTACAGTTATGCCACAACCTCAGCACAACTAGAGGTTTCACCCGCGTTAATTTGAAGAAGGTTTATAATGAGTCAAAATTAAAAAAATGGACATAGGCTGTTGTAGACTTTTAACCAGAACTTTTAAATGGGAAGAATTCCGTTATACATGATTTTTGTGTAACTTTAACCGTTTACCCAGCGCGCGCAACGGAATCTCACAAATAGAATATTTTTAACCGTTTTTGCAGCATTTTTCATCGATGCGCCTTCTTTGTTAAATGCACTGCCCAAGACAAAAAAAAATTCAAAACGGAACAGCAGAGCAATGTTGCATTCGGTACAACGTATCGTAAACTACGCAACAGTTTATATTTATTACGATGAAAGTCATTGTGTATAAAACAAGCCTTTAAACAAAAACTATAGTCTACACTACAGCTCTACACCGAAGCAAAGCGAGGGCGGGCCGCTAGTCTGTGATAAATGCGAATACTGCTTTAACAGATTCTTTAAACTGTAAACGACTGGGTTCGAGGCTTGCCCGATGGCCGGGGAAATCCGGGACAGCCAGTAATTAGAATAGAAATATTTTTATTGCTCTCACAGTAATACACAGTTTAATACATAAGTACAATGCGATATGACAGCGTGAAGAGCAAATGGATGTGGCTCAGCATAAACTGCTTCGTTACAGAATGTCTCGGGCAGCGCTGGTATTCAGCCACACCCACTTCTCCTTAGATGAAAGCGAGAAATGCAAAAGAAATCCAACAGAAGTAGGTGGTACTCCTACGATTATATTGTGTATGTGTGTGTTTTGTGTGTGCGTGTGTGTTTTGTGTGTGCGTGTGTGTGTGTGTGTGCGTGTGGGTGTGTGTGTGATGCATGTGTACGTGCGTGTGTGGTGTACTGTGTTTGTGTCTATGTTGTGTTGCCAGGGGGCCAATCGCCTAACGGAAATGCTTTGGAAAACGTTAACGCTTACGATTTTATTTTGTTATTTCTAGCCGCCTGAACTATTCAAATGCCTCGCGCTCTTTCTTTTTCTTTTGCATTGGTAATAACAATATTAAAAAAAATGAGCATGAGGTATTCGAAAACCTCAGGCGGCTAGAAATAACAATATAAAATCGTAAGCGTTAGCGTTTCCCAAAACATTTCCGTTAGGCGATTGGCCCCCAGGTCCAAAAAAAAAACAGTAGATGTATGGAAAGAGCTACAAGAAAAACAGTTAGATGCAGAGACGTACTTTTTCGATTTGCACCTACATTTTGAATGGCCGAAAATGCAACTCAACATGCAATTTAAAAAAGAAAATCGTGTACTAAGAAAAACAGGAGATTCATGTAGAAAAACAGGAGATCTCCTGTAAAATCTGGAGACCTGGCAACACTGGGGTGATTAGACCTTATTGTTCCGGATTCTGATAAGGTGCTAGTTTCGTAACAAAATAAACTAATAAATAACGAATGACACCGCTAGCCTGCTTAATGTTTTAATTCTGGGGGATGATGGGGGGAGTTTGATTTGATGCTTTATTTTTTCAGGGGGGGGGCATCTTCATCATCGGCCAGCGCCATCTCTTCGCATTGTAGGTGACCCACATTTTTTTTTATGGATGGAAATATTTAACTCGTTCGTTATCAGTATTTATAAACAACAATGAAAAGTGCAAAATTCAGCGTCGTAAGTACTCGTTTCATGATAAAGAACGTGCTCAGACAATTTTGTATTGTAAACATTTGGATTACAGTATAGTATATTTGAAATGTTATCATATAACGCTTCATGCTTTTCGCTTCTATTGCTGACCTGCGGACATGCGATAGTGAACATATTGCCAGACGCAACTAAATCAATATGATAAAGTTTAGAATGTGCTTTAATTAATTACGGGGTAATAGCCAACTTACAATCACAGCTATAAAAGTTTTAGAATAGGATTTTCTTGAAATCTTATTATTGCCGATTCATATCTTCTCTTTTTTTTCAGCTTTAAGAGCCGACAAGAAACTGAAGAACAGTCAAATAATAGTTTTATTTTTCAACTGCAAATGCCCAGGTGAACATGGGGTTTTAAACCGACAAGGAAGCTGGTACATCTCCGGCACGTATTTCTACTGCATTACCCCCCTATGAGAGATAGTTTTTGGTGATCCATCGTAAAACTGGCCATCGCTTTAGTTGCTTAAAGGTCACAATCGCAGACGATACAGAACAGGCACAGTCAGAACAAGCTATACACAACGTCGTTGAGCTACTCAACAATGACAGATAAAAAATAATTGTACAAAAAAACTTATTTGTAATTCAATATAATGTTTTACTTGCCAATTTGTTAAAGATATATGTAGTAGCATAGTTAGGTATGCGTGGAAGCAGAGGCGACGTTGTTTAAATAATTAATTATTTAAACAGACCGGATCGAGGCGGATTTTGCAATTTGTAAAAGAAATTAACAAGATATATATCG